TTTTTACAAAGCTCATCGGTCTGAAAAGCGAGGTGTGCTGTGATTGGCCAGCTATCCAGTGCGTTGGGATTGGCCGAATACCTCAAACGTGTGACGGAAATGTTACGCCCCTCACCATACTGTGATGATGCCTTGTCCGACCAGAGCGAAGATTCAAAAACATGAAAACTCATTATAAACGAGGCATTCGTTGTATCCAGTGGGGACATAATTACTGATTATAATGACTTATACTGTCTTTTTAAGTGTTGCGTTGCATTGCGCCGCGTAAACATAAAACCATGTCTGCATTTGTGATCGGAGAAATGACAAACAACAAGCCCTACTTTACACTGCCCAAAAAAACGTATAACTTTATATATAAAAAAGTACTTACAGTCTGACAGCCGGCATTGTAGTCTACACTACCAGGATCAGGAAATGGTCCTCCTTAAAATGTGCTACACACATCTGAATATTTGGGTTGAAGTGTTCTGGAACAGTGTTGTAAATACAACTTAACCACTGATTTCTAGTCGTGTCCATTTTTGGAAGACCAAACAAAGTAGTTTCGCTTTCACAATGAAACACAGCGTCACACACTGTAATTAATTTCCGTAATTCATTCTAGAGTGAGGAACGGCCGGAGGGCTAGAGTGAGCAGAGGCCGGGGGCTAGAGTGAGAAGAGGCTGGGGGCTAGAGTGAGCAGAGGCCGGGGGCTAGAGTGAGCGGCGGCAGCCTAGATTGAGCAGAGGCTGGTGGCTAGAGTGAGAAACGGCCGGTGGATTCGACGAAGGAGTGTCCGGAGGGCTTGCGCCAACCACATGTGACGTGTTTGGTTCCTTGGTAAATGTGGTTCCTTGTTGTTGTTATTGTCTTGTTTGTTTGTTTTTTGCCCTTAAAAAATAAATTAAAATAAATAAATAAACAAATCATACAATGTAGGATGATTAAAAGATTCTTTTGAGACAGTTCTTTTAATGAATCGTGCAAAAAAGACTCATGAAGTTTGATATGAATCACTGTTCTTATCAAATGTGAGGCAATAAATATTTTTAGCTACAAAATAATGCAAAGACAGTAAAAATACAAGATTTCTATTGCATGTTGGCAAAAAATACAGAGTTAACAGTTGACACTTTTGAGCCAATTCTTTTAATGAATCATGCAAAATGATACATGACCTTTGATTTGAATCACTGTCCTGACCAAACGTGATGCAATAAAATGTTTTCTAATGTAAAATTCTATTTTACATGAAAACTAAAACTAATGAAAATGACAAAATTGCACAACAAAATTACTAAAAATTAAACCTCAGTCAAAATATTATTAAATATTATTATAGTATATCAATAATACTAAAATATTTGTGAGTTTGCAGACTTGAATGTGATGAGATAAACAGACTGCAAGCAACGAAATATTGCAGTAAACTTACAAGATATCTTTCTGTTGTGTCTTCTTTGCAGATCATGCAATGTAGTTTGATTAAAATATTATTTTAACTATTTGTAACTTATTTTAGAATTATTTACATTCTATAATAATAATAACAATAACACATTTAGAATTATTTATATTCTACAATAATAATAATTTATATATATTATATTCTACAATCATATATATATATATATAAATTATTATTATTGTAGAATATAAATAATTCTAAATTTGTTATTGTTATTATTATTATAGAATGTAAATAATTCTAAAATAAGTTAGAACACAGTGTAATGCATGGATACTTGTTGAGCTTTTTGGAATGGATGTTCATATAAAGTAACAAGTGCATAACCAAACATCAAAGTATGTTACCCAATATAGTCTTGTTTTATTTAGCATGCTGTTAGGGCCAATTATCATGGCGTCCCACGCTGCCGCAGCAGCAGATTTCAGTAGGAATCTGTGGATCTGGCTCAGAGAGGGTTTGCACAGAGAGGAAACAGCAGACAGCGTGTGGCGTTAATACCTGCTAGTGCAATTAAGCAGAAAGTCCAGAACCCCAGAGGCTGCTCTGACAGCTTCCTGTTCCTGTTGCATGAAGTTATTTATTTCTCACTGTCCATATGCATTAATTAACAGGACAGTTCACCTAAAAATTGCAAGCAAAAGCCAACTGATCCATTAGTGCAGAACCGAACATGCAAGCAGCCGCTTAGCATCATATTATGTTTGCCACGTGCAAAACGCACTTATTTTTACTTGACAACATGTTAAAAAGTAGTTTTAGCTTTGTAAAGAACGATTAAGTTCACTGGAGGTGATATGCACGCATGCAAAAATTTGTTTTTTCATTTATTTCCACGTCTTGTTTTGTTTCATAGAGGATAAAGTTTTAATCCTCTTAAGATGAAGCTTTGTAGTTGCGAAGCACATTGGCTTCTGTTGCATGTTGATGTTCCTGTTCATGTTGACTGCGGTTAAACGGTGACTTTTTACGGTATAAAAGCCTGTTGAGAAATCCAATGCTCTTTGTTCTAAAGGACATTTGGACATCAAGTACAAACTGCAGCACAACAGAGACGCGGAGGTTTTCCGAGCCAGCGGCAGGAATCTGGCCAACGGGCAGCTGCACCGCGTGAGCGTCCAGAGACTGACAGAGACGCTCAGTATTCAGGTACTGTGATCATCAAAGCAGGGCCTGTTAAATGCACACAGTGAAGGGACATTCTGCCTATTCTCAACATACAGCATCTGTGACATGATGTTGATTTCCAAGGGAAATGTGTTTGCAAAAACACACTGGACTCAAACTGGCAGCACTGCAGGCAAGACACTACAGGCAGAAGCATCAGTTTTCAGGCTGTTTTGCCTCCATAATTCTATTCTAATTCTATTCTTTTAAAAAACTTGCCCCTTTTAGACTTGCACTTTATTCATTTACTAACTGCTTGTTTTCTTTTTAAAAAACTAACTTTTAAACTAATCTTTTTGTGTTCTATCTATTTGTTTTCTTTTTATTTATTATATAATTTTTAAAAAACTTGCTACGTGTACTGCGTTAAGTTAATTGAGACTTGTTATAGCACTTGCATTTCATTGCTCTTTTGTTGATTTTGATAGCTATGTCCTCATTTGTAAGTCGCTTTGGATAAAAGCGTTCAGGCTAGTGTTATTTTAGTACCGTTGAGATACTATTATAGTTTTTGTGGTAACACTTTACAGTAAGGTCTCATTTGTTAACATTAAAGCATGATCTAACAATGAACAATACATTTTTACAGCAATTATTAACCTTTGCTTATGTTAGTTAATAAAATTTGCATCTTCATGTTAGTTGGCAGTGCATTAACTAATGTTAACAAATTAAACTTTATTGTAAAGTGTTACCATTTTTCGTAATATTTTGAATTAGAATTTATTTGTATTTATTTAATTTGAATTTGTTAATTGAAGTTAACGTTTTAGCAATTTAGTGGTGTTTATTCGTTATTTTATTAGTTTTTGTTGTTTTTAAATGTGTATATAATTTTTTATAAATTATATTTTATATAATATATAATGAATTGTAATTCTATTTTGTAAAATATATATAACAAATTCTTACAGCTTGTATATTATATATATTTGAGTTATTTTAGTATGTCAAGTTAAATGTTGCTGAAATAAAACAAGTTTATGTTTATTATATTTTATTCGTATACCTATGATGAAAATTACAGGCCTCTCTCATCTTTTTAAGTGGGAGAACTTGCACAATTGGTGGCTGACTAAATACTTTTTTGCCCCACTGTATGTTTGAGTTATTTTAGTATGTCAAGTTAAATGTTGCTGAAATAAAACAAGTTTATGTTTATTATATTTTATTCTATTTCAGTAATCATATTTTATTTCAAGTAGCAAAAATATTTTTTATGGTTTTAGTTTATTTAACTATAATAACCCTGCTTCAGACTAGTGGAAACAAAACATCGAAAATGCACATTTAAGTGTTTGTTTGATAGCTCTTGATCTATTTGCGTCTGTAGATTTCAATTGCAATATATCTTTAAGGGACATTTTCTCAAAATGAGTTTGTTTCTCCACTTCAGTAGTACATGCACCAAAATTTACAGTTTTATTCATATCTATATTCTGAAGGTTTTTACTGAGGGGTTTGTTCAGATATCATTAACGCTGATTTTTATAACATTTTAATTCTAAAAACATGATGATTTTTTTTCTGCCTTTTGACAGTATTTTCTGATTCATGGCTTGATAAAAAGAGAAATCCAAAATCACCTTTGTAAAAACCTTTAACTCTAACATATCAACACAATTAAATAAGAATTTTGGCTTTACCCAGTGCTCAGATTTATTCAAATTAGTGCATATTTATTTAGATAATGCATCATTTGCATATTTAACATTTCAGAAAACGTAATACAGAATACAAAATAATTGTCTTAATGTAGTGTGATTAATCACCTGGGGAAAGTATGGTTATGTCTATTAGTTAACCTGTAGTGTCTTGCCTTAAACCGCTGTAGTCTATAAATAATTTGATCATTTCCAGAAATATTCCTTTAAACCCTTTCTAAAAGGCTACAACATGCATCAAAATATTAAACAGAACACCCTTGTCAAGCCATGCATATATTGATGAATTTGAAATCAAGTTTTTGATCACATTTTGATATTGAGTGTCCAGGTGAAATATCAATCGGTCTGATGCGTGACACTCGCTGGTCAATAACTGTCGATGGCCAAACCAATTAGTCTGAACCTCTGCAATGAGCACACTTTGAATGCAAACACGCGGCGGGACCGAAGCACTTCCTCTGGTCTTGAACCAGCGAGCCTGTTTTATAATTGCTTTGAAGATAAGTTTGAATTAAAATGCTTGCAGATGAATATGCCCTTGCTATGAACATGATGCTGCCAAGCTTTTTCTGTCCTCTTTCCTAAAATGTTAACTGTCTTCTTGCATTTTTTGTAGGTCGATCAGCATGCAAAGGAATATTTCAATCTAACATCGGACACTGAATTCAATGCCATCAAATCAATTGTCTTGGGAAAAGTGATCGGTGAGTAAAATTTGATTGTTAGGACTTGATTGCAAGTTTTCTGTTTATGCTCAGCTTAAATATTTGAATTTGAACTAATTTTATTCAAAATCAATTTAATCGACTGCTCGTATGGCAATGATTTTTGAAGCAAAATTTCGAAAGTTTAAGCTAAATGTTTTCATAATAAATTAGCAAAAACCAAAAGTCTTACATATGTTCTATTTGACAAGCAGTTCTAATCTCACCAGAGTGTTTTTGCATTAAGGAGGAAATGTCTCTGAATTACAGTCGAGTTCTGAACTCAATGACATGCAGATGGTCAGTTAAGTGGCCATTATTATATTTATTTTAGAGGTTTTCTAAGCATCACAGATGCTGAAATGTCTGGAGGAAGCAGAGGCAGCAGGAGCTTGTTTGTGCAGTCAGGCGAACTCTTCAATCTGAGTGAACAGAGTACAGTATGTCCTATTTACTTCAGTTAAGACTAATATTGACTTTACATGTTATTATTGTTGTCTGGGGAGATGGCAAATGGGTCAGTTTGATTTTTTCATGTCTATAAATAGGACCTGCAGCAGCTTTCTAGCCATAAAACCTGAATAAATTAATAAAACATTCAGTTAATAAATAATACAGCAGAAGTTTGAAAATACGAAGCTTGCAGGGTGAATCTCATGAAGACATTTTGGATTTAAAAAGTCTATTATTAGGATGTTTTTTGCATTGTGACTTTTTTCATTACAGTTCTAAATTCTCATTATTTCAATGCAAAATATTTTGCATGTGTGTGTGTATATCTTTATCTTGAATAAAGTGTTACACTTAAATATCATTGAGTACATTAATGATATCTGCATTGTTCTGTTCTGTTAACCCTAGGGGGGTTATTATTGCTGCTCTCCCTGCTCATTCATGACAGGCTGCATGGATGGGCAGGGAGGTTTTTTGCCCAGAACAGAACCATACCGCCAAACCAAACTTTATGCTAAGTATCTATCATTCTGACGATAGTGGTCCTGACAGAAATATATTTAGTACTGCCCTGAATAAGCTATTTCATGGCAATTAAGCACAATTTGGCACTAAAATTGTGTGTGTGTGTGTTTTTTTTTTTTTGTTTTTTTTTTGCAAATATTATTTATTCTGAAGCAATTTTCTCATTTTTTTCAATATTTATATAGGCTATTCAATATTTTATCCAAGGACATTTTTTACCTTTATAGAGGGCATTTTCCCACTAATCTCATATACTTTCATTTCAAATTCTTACATTTGATCTATAAATTCAATTATAATAATGTGATTATCTATACGTCATCAAATTAAATCATTTACACTGAAAAATACAACTGCATTAAATAATATTATGAGATTCTTTTAAATATTTTTAAATATACAAACAAGAAATGATGGTGGAAATGATACTTTTCAACTAAATTAAAACGCCAGTGCCAGTAGTGTTTAATGAGTGTGTCATTGAGTCATTCATTCAAATGATTCCTTCAAACGGCAGATTCATCAGATGTTTATGCATGGGCTAATGAAACTTTGATTCAACCGATTCGTTCAAAACACGGAATCAATCAGCAATGAATCGGCTGTTTGCTGTGAGATGTGCTGCGTTTCCGCCTAAAATATAAGGGACCTAATATTATTGTATTTGCTTATTGAACTGTTTATAGAACTATTAAACAGTCGTAATGGTGAAAACGTTGTGTGATGTTACCTAACTAACTGCATTTTAAATATAAAAACTTTCCATTTAGAATTTTTACCTCAGGATGCTGATGTTTTGATTTCTCCTGAAGAGGCTGCGTTAGCCTCGCCTCAGCAATAGATGCATAATATACAGTAGCTATATCCACCATTCTCCACTTACTCTAAATGTAATAAAATCAGAATAATACTTATTTTTGGTTACTGATGTTTTAATCATGTTACTTGTCTGCTGTTAATGAAGCGTTAATGATGAGTCTATGTCCCTGGATGGCCCCGGCCCAATTTAAACCCTGTATATACATAAAAATGTTTGCCCATAAGATACAGCTGTAAGAAAATAGCATTTTTTTCTGATTTTAATGAAAATGTTTGTTCTCGGATAGTTTTCGAACTGCATGACAAAAAATCGTAATGGTCCTAAAAAAGACTTCATGTTTTTGTTTTGTTTTTGTTTTTTTGCACAAATATATTTACTTTGACTTTTGGAAATGATCTTTTGGTAAGATTTACTGGCAGTGTTTACAGATATTAAGAAAGTGAGAAGCTTTTTATGATTGTATATGATCAGTGAGCTCTGTTTTATAACTGTATCTCCCCCAGCAGTCATTTCTAGTTACCCAGAGATCCTCATGAGTCAAATTAGGCTCATTGTAATGATGTACAGGTTGAGGATGGCTGTGTTTTATGGAGGGAAACATTCTCATGTGGTGGCGTGTGCGTCCATACGACCTTTCATATGAACATGTGACATGAAATGCATTCACTGTAACTCTTCAGATAGTGTGTCACTGACAGCGGACTGTGTGTCATTTCCAGCAAACACTGTCGATCAAGGCCAGAAATCGACTTGTAATGAATACTAAATCAAATGTGAAACCTGCATCGAGCTCCTGAAGATTAATATTAGACTGGTTCAGAGCTGAAATGATGGCAAGCAGATGCCTCAATCTGCCAAATCAAGCTGGAGAGCAAGATCATCAGGTGCATGTCAATAGAGACACAGCAAATACTGAGACAATTCATATTCGTTTTTCATTGTAACCTTGTAAAGCTTGACACATGAAATAATAGTCCAAAAACCTTTTCTTTTTTTAATGGAACAGTTCAATAGAACCATCTTTAAAATTTTGCATATTTTACTTTTATGGCTCATTTAATCTGATATAGTGAGAATATGGAGTAAAAAAACAGCTCAGTTTTATTCAGAGGCCCAAACTGAGCAAAAATATGCAATATGGTGCAGATGCTGATGGACAAAAACAGTTAAAATTCTGCTGAGATCTTTATAACAGTACAGAAGATACTAGTCCTCACTCTATATCTCCAATAATATGTCTTGAAATTATCCAAACATAATGCAATGCAATCCAATGCTGATTGAGAGATGAAGAAATAAACACTCCTCAGAAGATGTGAGATGTTCTGGAGGCTTGTGAAGATCATTCCTCCGCTGAGGAACAGTGAAAGTAAAAATTCTGGAAACAAACGTTCCTCAAAAGATCCTGAGGATCAGATTTGAGACTCTAAAAAATGATTGATGGAGAATCAAGTAAAGCTGAGCTGCTTCAGTCCAGTAAGTGTTCGTCTGGAGATATTACTACAGTTATTCTCACGTTTACTTAATTAAAATCGGTAAAGATTTGACCGCAGAAAGACACGAGAAGCACCAGCTGAAGGTGTGTACAATTACACTGAAAGATCAGACGACAGAAGACATGCAGTAGATTGAGTGCAACATGTTTAACATCAAAGTTTTCGTCATGTTGATCATTTAGAGACCTATCAAATATGATACAGTAGCTTTAGGGATAACTTTTTACTCAACTGCTAAGCTGATCATATAACTTTATAGCAAACAACAGACCTAAGATCTTGATGTTCATGCACATGTTATTTGCCAACTACATCATGGTTTTTTTCTTCCCAAGGGGCCATTGAGCTGCCTGTAGCTCAGTGTCTGAATAAAAGCACTTTCATCAGGCTCGATGTGTTCAGTTCACTGCCGTTGCTGTGGAATGGAATGCAGCGTGTGGTTTTCACTCGAGATGTTTGGTACAAAAGCTGTAGCGCATGGTTTTGTGTTCAGTCGCCGCTGTCCGTGTACGTTTGAAGACTCGCATCTCGTTACAGAGGGTGTGAGGCAACATGCTGTGAAGAATATTAACATTGCTCAACGGTTGCTCTCCTGAGCTTAATGGAGTTCTCGTGTGTCGGTTAAGCTTGTTTCAGATGTTTCTCCTAAAGTTTCTTAGAAGAAATCAGTGAACAGTTGGCATACAGTCTATAAAATGAATATGGAAGTGGCTTATATCATTTGGTCTTTGGAGAATTTGATGAGAAATGTTTGAGTTCGTAATCAAATCTCTGACTTTTGATTGCAGATCTCTTCTGAAACTCAAGAGGAGACGTGTGTGATCTTAAGAGTCTTTTTCTCAGGAGAAACATCTTAGAAGCAGGAAACTTAACCAAACATTAACATTAGATCTCCATTTAATTGCTATCCAGGAGAAACCATTGAGATATTTTGTGATCTATCACTTTATATTGCAAATTATATTATCTTCATAAATCTTAGGCTAGTTTGAGACAGTAGTTATGTTTCCATCACCCTGATTTTATGCCCAGTCTGAAGTATCGCATTAGAAAAAAGTAACAAATTTTTTAAAAAATCCTTTAATTCACAAAAAGTTTTGAGGTGTAATGGGGCTGACGAGACGTGAGACGTGTGGATCCATCTGCAAGCTTTTATTAAAGAGACGTGGTATAACAGGCAGGGTCGAACAATGGCAAACAGGTATATGGCGGGCAAAAACACAAGAATAGTCCTAGGGCTAGCGTAGGTCACCGATCGGCAGACAGAATCACAGGGGCGAGACGAGAGAGAAAAATCCAGGAAAACAGGCAGAGATCAGAAACCGCGAAAACAGGCAAGGCAAGGCAAAACAAGGAAAACACAGAAATTCGGAAGGAAAACACGGCGACTCGGAAAGGGGTACAGGCTAAACAATACTCAGCAGAGAAAGGTGGTTAGAGTGGTTGTTATATAGTGAGTGGAGTGAGGTGATTAGAAACAGCTGTGTGCAATGAGTGCAGTCAGTGCAGTGTGCAAACCGTGCAATGAATGATGGGATATGTAGTCCGGGGTGCTATGCAACAGTTTGTGTTGTGCGAGAGTCAATGTAAAGGAAAGGGTGACCTCTGGTGGTGAATAAATGGAAGTCCATGGACCGAATTCGTGACATGAGGCTTGCTTGAAGTGGCTTTTGACTTGTGCAAAAAAAGAGTCAATGTGAATAATGGGAGATGGAAACGCATCTACCTAATAAATTCCTCCATGCACATCAAAAAAGTCATGTGACTTTGCGCGATGGGATGGCATAACTGGACTAACCAGTGGAATGACCGCATTTATTGTGTTTCGTCTGCTCGCTCTGAGGTGCACGTTTTATGATGCATAAAAATTAGGGATTTTATTAGGGAAATTAGGGACCCGATACTGTGCTCCTGTACTCGTACTCGTACTCGTTAAAATGCCCCGATACCAAACGCCGATACTACACAGCATGTGATAAGTGCCATATTCAGACAAAGAAACACTGACAACAGACAGCAGAATGGAGTTATTAGAGATTAAAGATGTCTACGAAGTATATGTATGCAATGAATATAAAACATTCAGTATTAATGCCTGTATAGCTGATTTGCTCCAGCTGGTAAGCAAATCGCGCTGAGTGGATTGAGAGCGCGGCGGCGCAGATGCGCGAGCTTGTCGAGTGAATATCCCTTTCTCTAGACATCACTGGAAAGTTTGTAGTTCGGTCGGTATGTCAAAAAGAAGTAAAAGAATGCACAAGTTACTTAACGGTAGGGAGGGAGGGAGCGAGAGAGAGAGCGCACACTTTTGTGTGATCTTTATTGATGTTCGCTCACTTAGCACGCATTATTTTAATATTATATATTAAAACTCAAGTGTAAATATAAGACAATTTATAGGGGCATTCACTATAAACGTCATTTATTTTCACCCTT